TTTAAGGAGTTAAAAATACTTTTAAGGGCTGGGGATATAGCTCAGAGGTAAAAAAAAACTGATTGCTTAGCATGCGCAAGCCACTGAGTTACTGAGTTCTATCCCTGGTAACACACACACACACACACACACACACACACACACAGAGAGAGAGAGAGTTTAACTCAATAAGAGATCTGTATTCTTCATCTGTTTATCCTCAGCGTATAGAATGATATGTGTAAAGAATCAATAAATATTGTGTAAGGAGATGTTAATGTGTATATTAAAAAAGAGACTTTGAAACTATCATAAAACTATGGATAGTTTGAAACTATCCATATTAAAAGAGAGACTTTGAAACTATCCACCGGGAGTAATTACCCTTGCAAACAGACCTACTTTTAACTACAAGGCTAAAATAAAAAATATGCATTTATATTTTCAGTTAACTTATCAATAATGATTGATGTCCAAAAAGTCAGGAGAATCCATTAATTATGGGCACATGAATTTTTAGATAAAATATTATCTGTGATCTTTCTAAACCAAAGCCTCCTGATTTTACTACAGCAGGATATCCCTCATTTTCAGTAAAATGCAAATATGTTTGTTTTCCCTAAAGAGCCCTGATCTCACTAAAAACAGAAATAGCCAGGGGACAAATTGGATGGGCTCAAGTGTTAGGATAAAGATTTGATATTTTTAAAAATACTTTTGCTCTCCAGTTGTCCCTGGGATACATTAAAACAAAGGCTCTGAATCACAAGAAAGCTGGCATCGCTGGCTAAGCTTCAAGTAGAGGTGGAGACGGAGATGGAGATAGAAATAGATGTTGTCACATTAGCGAGGGCTTTCAGGGCTTTCAGAAGGAATAACAAAGCAGAAGGACCCAAAAAAAGCCCTGTTCATAGGCATCAAATTAAAATAAAAAGTCCTGTCACGTCTTATGCAGTTTGAAGGTGCCATTTACTCCATCTTTCTGCAAAATGCAGAGCCAAACCACTGGATTTGTGTACTACAACATTCGTTTTGTGTGTGTGTGTGTGTGTGTGTGTCCGTCCAGAGGGAACTGGATCATGCCTGAGGAAATCAGATGTTCAGAATCCAAAGCTGAGTTCTCAAATGGAGACTTTAACCATGGTTTCCGACAAGTAACTAACAAGATAGTGGGCTTTCTATGTTGGAGTGGCAGTGAAGGAATTCCACAGTGCATTTGTGAGCTTTGATCAAACCGTACTGTAATGTTGCGGGTCCTGGAAAACAACTCTTCAGGTGTTCTTGAGAGAGTGACGGATCAAAGCTACCTGCAGTCCAACACCACCCGCTGAGGCTGGATCTCCAACCCTCTCCCTTGTGACGCCTGCATGCTCAGGCACTCTCGCTCCTGATTTTTCATAGATAGCCCCTCCACCCAAGGTTGCTTAAAGGAAAAAACTGTAAAGGAAGTGCCTTGGCCTCATCCCGGGGCTGAGCGGCACTGTTTCCCAGTGCAACCCTTTGCAGAAGTGCTTGCATTGGTGTGACCCTTGGTGACGCTTAGAAGTTGGTTAGTGACTGAAGGAAGATAGGAAAGACTGCTGGACAGATGTCTTTCTGGCTAACCACCACCAGATCCTCTGCCCCCAGCCAAGGTCAATGAACCCTTTTTGCCTATTTATCTTACAGAGGATCCCAGTGCAGTACTTTCTGTCACTAAAATTATGTCATGATGATGATAGATTTGTCCTCATAGGTTTTTATTTTTATTACCTTCAACACTTTTTCTTTCTTTTTTTTTTTTTTGGTTTTTTTTTGGGGGGGGTGGTTTTCCAGTACCAGGAATCGAACTCATGACCTCACGCTTGCCAGGCAGCAGCTGTGCCACTGAGCTAAAACCCCAGCCCCCCTCCAACACTTTTTCACATGAAACTTTTTGTGTGTTTTTAGCTTGTATAGATGTGTACAATTCGGCAAGCTAAGAAACAAGATTCCTAATGATGAGTGTAATTAAGGCTGAGTCTGTGTACAGGAATCTGTCTTCATTTGAATTTTTTAATGTTTTAAAAATTAAAGAAATAAGAGGACTTCGTAGTGGCTAATTTTTTCCTTTCAGAATTATCTGCACCAGAAAGAGGGAGAGATTTTCCTTCTTTTTCCTTCTATGAATGGTATTACATACATAAGTATTCATATATTTTTTTCTTCATTCTGTAAAATCTTTGGGGGGAAACAAATCATCCATTTTCCAAGTGGAAGGCAAAAAAGTAGCCACCTTTGAAATGAGCTATATTCTGTTGCTGATCCTTCTTCTGACTAAAAGAACTGAGAACAGGGTCTATCCAAGGTGTGGAAAGGGCATGAGCTGCATTTGGCCCAGGCAGCTCCCTCTAAATGCAGTCTATGCCTATAGTCGATCACAGAACTTTAAATTCATGTTCACTTGTTAGTAATATATATGTGTATGTGTGTGCTGTTATGCTTTCATACATGTCTCTTCTTAAAAATGTACTGAGCTGGATGTGGTAGTATATACCTGTAATCCCAGCATTTGGAAACTGAGGCGGGAGAATCACTGCAAGTTTGAGTCCAGCCTGAGCCACATAGGGAGTTCTAGGCCAGCCTGAACTATATTGTGAGACCCTATCTCAAAACAAACAAAAAAATCAACTGATTTGTTTTGTTTGCAGCATTTTTAAGGCATTGGTTTTTCTAAGTACACTGACTTTATATGATTATTCTAAACCTTATGTGGAAAAGAGAAGGAACATGAATGGGTATAATAATTTTGAAGAAGAATATAGTAAAGAGAATTACTGTACCCAAGTCTAAGATATTGTTATGGCAAAATTCAGGCTGTATTCTGCAAGAGACCAAAGAACTCTAGGAGAACAGACAGAGTTTTAATTTAGACCAGTCACCTCTCATTCCGACTTACAAGTCAGGGAAGTGGGTGTGGGCTTGCCTTTGTTCCACCTTATATACATTTTTGGTTTCCATGGTAACAGATTGGAATGTTGTAATCCTGGCCACACGTTGTTTTCCTTGTGCCATGTAGCGGGGTCAGGCTCTGGTCATGAGCCCAACTACAATGATATGTACTTTCTGTACTCTGTTCTATATGTCCCCCTTTAGATAACCATGCATTTCCTTTATGGTTACAGTGTTTATCTAGGGCCAGGGAAAGGATGAAACAACCCAGGCAAGGTCATAGGTAGCTATCTAGGCCCTGGCATTCTTTGTCTTTGGAGAAGCATTCCAGGGCTAGTCAGGACTGCAATGTTAACTCTTTGTAACCTCTTCGGGATGTTTCTCAAGACACATTTTAAGGCTTGCATTAAGACTAGAATTATTCTATCTTAAAATGATATGCTAAGAGTCGCCGTCCCCTACAATATTATATAGCTATAGCCATCGACATTGTGTGGTTATTAGCATAGAAACAGATACTGAGATCAGTGGAATCAATATAACAACCCATACCTACATGGACAATTGACTCTTTTTTTTGGTGCTGAGAATCAAGCTGAGGGTCTTATGCATTCTAGGCAAGTGCTCTACCAGCTGAGCTGCATCCCTGCCCAACAGTTGATATTTCACAAAGGTGTGAGAGCAGTTCAATGAAGCATAGTATTTTCAATGAATGGCAAGACAGCATTTAGCTAATATTCATGGGCAAAAAATAAACCTTGCCATAAACCTTACACATTGCACAAAAATTAACTAAAAATGGATCATGGATCCATGTGTAAAATTTAAACTTTTAAAAAAATATTTAGATCTTAGGGCTTCAAATGAATTTTTAAATATCAAAAGTAAACTAGGCATCATCATTTTCTTTTTTCTTTTTGGTTTCTTGAGACAGGATCTCACTATGTAGTTCAGGCTGGCCTTGAACTCACTATATACCTGGGGTAGCCTTGAACTCACAGAGATCCTCCTGCTGCAGCCTCCCAAGTGCTGGGATTACAGTCGTGCACCACCAGTTCTGGCTGACATCATCAAGTTTAAAAACTATATTTTTCTGTGGAAGACCTTGATAAGACATAAAAAATAAATTAGAAAAACTATGGGTTTGGGGAAATATACTACATATCTGACAGAGGACTCATTTAAAATATATAAAGAATAGTCAAAACTCAAAGTTAAAAATAAATATCTTCAGTGAGAAAATGAGCAAAAGGCATAAAGAGCATCTCACCGAGAAGACTTGTGGCGGGGTGGGGAGTAGTCACGTAAAAACATGTGCTGCATCATTAGGCATTAAAGAAATGCAAGTTAAAACCACAATGAAGTATCAGAATAGCAAAATGAGAAATACTGCCACTCATTAATTGCTCCTGTAGCACAGCCAGTGTGGAAAACACTCAACAATTGCTTATAAAGCTAATCGTACACTGATTTTCATACAGAAACCCACACAGATTATCAGATATAAGCATGCAAAATTCGTCACAAAAATTAAAAAGAAAAATTAAGCATTAACTGTTCCTTTCAGTAGACCAGTAGAACTCAGCAGTACAATTATCCCAGCTATCCTGTGTATATACATATATATGTTTCCCTTCTTTCTTTCTTTTCTCCTTTCCCTCATCCCAGTTGTTCCTTCCC